GTTTATAATCGCTTGAAGATTTAAATAAATCATTAGAAATTGCACCAGATAATGCAAATGCATTAAGAAATCCTAAATGATGATGACTTTAGTAAGCTTTTTGATAGTTTAGAACGAGATATTAATAAGGCATATGAACATTTTTTAAAATGGATGTCTTCATGGGTGCATTTGCCATTGTCGATTTGCCGGTTGGGTGGAAATTCTGGTCATGAATTCGCAAGGACATTCTACAATGTGGTTCTGCAATTACCATGGCCTTCAGAACCAACAGAACGTGAAATAGAATTTGCGCAACAATTGCGTGATGATTTTAAAATTTCTAATAATACCTTTGGCCTTCTAGAGGAATTATTAGATAGCTTAGAATTTATGGATGAATTTCAAAGTTTTTGTTCTACGCCCAATCCTAAAATTCATGAATACCCGTTATTGTATAAATTTGTTAAAGAGCGAATTTACTTTATTGTAATCCACCAACAACAAGTGGAAGGGCTTTTTAACAAATTAGACTTGAAAACTCATCCAAATATGACTGCAGACTTAAAACAATCCAAATTATGGCTCTTGTCTGGAGATATTAATGAAAACAACATTACCTTGAGACTCTCAGATGTTCGTATAAAACGTAAAAAGCAATCACAAGAAATTATACAAGAAAGTATAAAAACTCACGGAGAAGAAGAAGCAACTAAAATGTTATTAGATTTATTTCAAATTTAGTATTGGAATTTTTGTCATACTGAAAAAAAACTTGTATTATAAAATAAAGATCATGCAAATCGGTGATCATCATTTAAAAAAAAAAATTTCACTAGTTAAATCTACTATAAGACTATGATTTACATAGTACATCGAACACCAATCAGTTTAATCACCAAGATACATAGTAAAAATCATTTATTGATTTTTTTTAATCGATTTGCGAAATTTTCAAATTATATTAAATCATTAATAAAGAATGCCTTCGCGCAAACTTTAATAACTTCTGTTATATTAATTCTTTTTTAATTCTGCGAGTTGATATTTATTCTTTAAGAGTGTCTCTATTAAGTAATAACCGCATATTTTAAATATTAATTGTTTTTATGTTACGTCAACTAGTATTTATTATAGGGTTCGGGGCACAGTGAGCATTTATGTACCCCACCCAAAATAGAATGATTATCATTGTTGTTATTTTTT